GAGCCAAAGGCAGTCGCTTAACCAACTGAGCCACCCAGGCATCCTATGCTCTCCATTCTTGAGGGCAGAGTTTCTACTGATTTTTAAACTATTTGTTATTTCCTCAGTGGTTGTTCTAGGGCTTAGACAGTATCTCTTAATTTGTCATAATATCCTGCAGATTAATATTAGTTCCAAGATATATAGAACATTTGCCCCCCCCCCACTTTATGGTATTGTTGTCATGTCATGTGTCATATAACACAATACAGTGTTATAATTGTTGCTTTACATAATTTTACATCTTTTGAAGAAACCAAGAGAAGAAAGGACACACACACTTACTTAATACTTCCTTACTTCCCCATAACTTTTCTTCTCCTCTCCTTTGTATTGTAATATTATATCTCTTTATGTTACAGACCCAGGAACTCAATTTTTGAAAGATTTATGGAGATATAGTTCGTATATCATACAATTCACCCATTCAAAGCATAGCATTCAAGGGTTTCACTGAAAGCACAGACACGGGTCACCATCCCCTGGGAAAGACATTCTATAGCCCTTAGCCATCCTCCCTCTCTAACCTCCCAGTGTCTGCCTTCCTTGCTAGTATTCACAGCAGTGGTTTGTCCTGTGACCTCAATTCTTTGCAAGATCCAAGAAGAGTTGTTGGTTTCCAGTTTGTTCAGATTGTTTCTCTTGTTGTAAAAAATGGGACTGATAACTCCAAGACTCTTCCACGTCAGACAAGAAACCAGAAGGCTGCTCAGTTATTCTTTATTCTTTTTTTCTTTGTTCTCAGAATGTATACTAACGATCTAGCTTCAAATTTACTAATTCTTCTGCCAACTTAAATCTACTGTTGAGCCCCTATAGTGACTCTTCATTTCAGGTACTGTTACCTTTCAATGCCAGAATTTCCACTTGGCTCTTTCAAATAATGTTTACCTACTGATACTATTTGATGAGTTACTGTTATAAACGTAATTTCCTTTAATTTTTTGAAACTATAATAGCTTCTTTGGAGTCTTTGCCATATGAGTTCAAAATCTGGGCCTCCTCAAAGTAGTTTCTATTGTCACTATTTTTCCTGTATTGAAGGAGATAGTACTCTGTTTCTCTGCATCTTGTAGTTTTTGAGATAATACAGTGTGGCAACTTTGGATTATGATACATCCCTCTCAGGACTCATTGATGTTGCTCTGTTTTGTTAATTTTATTAGTTGGCTTCACGGCTTCCCTGGACTAATTTCCGTGGAGTCTATTTTCCCCAACAGTGTGTAGCCTCTGATGTCAGTGCTCAGTTTCCCCATGTGCTTCCTAGGAGTCACCCAGGATCAAAAAAAACCGTAATGTTTAGCCAGTGATCAGTGAGAAGCTGTGCTTAGGCCCCTTGAGCTGGTAAGGCTTCCACTCCTTGTTCATGGATCTGTGTATGACTTGGGAATTCCTTCAAGCCTGCCCCATGTCTAACAGTGACTAGTGCCTTTCAAGTGCCTGCTCTGGTTGGTCCTTGATATGTGTGTGATACCTAGACATGTGCACAGCTTTCCAGATGGTTTATTATAACTACGATCTTACAGGGCACTTTTTAGCTATTTCCCTGATTCTTTCTGTTAAACTTCTGGATGGCCTGCTGTTTCATTTGTTGTTTTATAGAACTATTAAAATCATAATTGCTTACAACTAAGGTCTCTATATTCACCAATGCCTAAGTCATGCATTCCCCCCACTATGTAGCAAATAAAGGCAGCTCCTTCCATGGAGCTGTGGAGCTGCCCGGCCTCCCTTCCTCCTCTCCCTCTGGACAGGTGTCTCATTTACTGCATCAGAGCAATAGAGGAGGTGGAAGGGGCAGCCTATTTTTCCTGGAGTGACACATCTATCCTACAAGTGGAGTTGAGGAAACTTCTTGGCTTCTCCTCTTGGCATAGAAACTCCACTCTACAAGTGGGATTTTGGAGGAGAAATGGGAGCCCAAGGTCTTTTTGAGTCACTCCTTCCAGGATAGAACCTCTGCTCCGTAAGTGGGAGCTGGGAGAATGAGAGCTTGCTGTCCTTTCATCCTGCCCCCTAGCATGAAACATCTGACCTACAAACTAGAGTATGGGGGGTGGGGTGGGATCAGGGCCCCAGGACTCTTGGCCTTCCTTGCCTTGGGTAGAGCCTCTGCTGTATAAAGCAGGAGCTAGGTTGGGCATGGAAGCCCCAGTCTTCTCAGCTGCAGCTGACTAAAATTGAGCTTCTGTAATATGCAGCCAGAGTGGCAGATGAGGCTCTCCTTTGAGGATGACAGGCTTGAATGAGATTTTAGCCCCTTAATAGGATCTCTTTTTTCTGTGTCCCTTTATTTCACTGCAAAGGTTTATCAGGTTGTTGATATTTAAAGTCTTTTAGGGGCGCCTGGTTGGCTTAAGTCAGTTGAGCGTCCAACTGTTGATCTCGGCTCAGGTCTTGATTTTGGGGTTGTGAGTTCAAGCCCCATGTTGGGCTCCACACTGCGCATGGGGCCTATTTAAAGAAAATAAAGAAAATAAAGTCTTTTAAATCATTCTCTTGTTATTTGAAATCTAGAGTAGTTGGTTTTTCTTTAACTCTGTAAGACTCCAAATGTCTGGACTCTATTTGCTTTCATTTTGGCTGGTCAATCATTAATTTTGCCCAAGTTTATCTCTTTCTTGTAATAGTCTGCCAAAGACAGCTAAGATCAATCAGCAAATATTGCCAATATTCTGTTTTCTAGTATCTTCTAGAGGTGTCAGCACAGTTGATTTATGTAGAGGAGACAATTTTACCATATGTTTTGCCAGTTTGTCACCATCTTTCCAGGCTCTGATACCGGTTTTCTCACTGCCCCAGTATTTGGCGAATGTTACCTCTTTTAGTTTTTGTTATATTAGCAGTACACTTCTAGAAGCAACCTCTAAACAAAGTAGCTTAATACAGAAACGATGCAGGGCAGTGATTGTAGCCCCATACCCTTGTGAGAATGAAACAGAATGATGCATGCAACCCCCACAGGCCAATCTCCCTACATCAAAGCGCTGATCACAGTGAACTGTTTCCTTAACTGTTTAATTACAATGGGAACTCCAATTATACCCTTGGAAAATACAAAAATAGCTAACATCTTATGAGCACCATACATATATTATATTGTATAATCCTTGCAATAGCCCAAGAAATCATGGCACAATTCTAATTCACAGAAGAGAATATGAGGCTCAAAGCAAATCCAGAATCTAGATCTAGCTGGCTCCAGAACGAGAGCTCTCACACCACCTCTTGTATGTTTCCTGTCTGTATTCCTAAATCTCTATTAAAACTCACTTCCAAAGAATTAAGTTCCATCTTGAATTAATAAATAAGGAACAAATTGATTTCTAATGCTGTAGATAGTCATATGTAAATTTGCAGGATATCTCCACAAATTTTAATTAAAAAAAAAAAATGAAGGATTCTCTGGGGCGCCTGGGTGGCTCAGCTGGTTAAGCATCTGCCTTTGGCTCAGGTCACGATCTCAGGGTCCTGGGATTGAGCCCCACGTTGTGCTCCCTGCTCAGCGGGAAGCCTGCTTCTCCCTCTCCCTCTGCTGCTCCCCCTGTTGTGCGCTCTCTGTCAAATAAATAAAATCTTAAAAAAAAAAAATGAATGATTCTCTCTGAAAAAAGTCCCTACATTTCTGCATTGCAAAATCCTTATTTAAGTATTTCTTACTATTCTATCACAAGGTGAATTAGGAAATGCCAAATAGACAGAAATGGTGCACAGTAAAATGAACCCCCAAACATACTGTTGGGTTATGGAGTACTTAAAATTTGTATCTTCAGCTTTATGAAGTAATCCAGTGAAAAAGAGCAGCAGTGTATGTATTAGGGCTAGGGCTTAGGCTAGGGCTGCCATAACAAAATGTCATAAACTGGGGAGCTTAAGAAACAGAAATTAATTTTCTCACACTTCTGGAGGCTGGAAGTCCAAGATCAAGGTGCCAGCATAGCTGGTTTCCTCTGAGGCTACCCTCCTGCTGCCTCTTCACAGGGTCTTTCCTCTGTCACCTGCATCCCTAGTGTCCTAATCTCTTCTTATAAGGACACCAGTCAGATTGGAGTAGGGGCCTGCCTAATGGCCTCATTTTAACTTCATTGCGCTTTAGAGGCCCTATCTCCAAATACAGTCACACTCTTAGGTACTGGGCATTAGGGCTTTAATTAGGGAAGACAATAACAGTTTGTAAGAAGAGGGTAATTTAGTCACCAAAAATAATTATTTAAATCATAGTGAATGTCGTAAGAAGCCATGGCTATTTTCTTTCGCTCATTCTCATATATCTATGTTGTATGTACGTATGAACAACAACACCTTTTCATATACTTTCATTGATCAAAATGAGAAGTCATGTATGTGTGTGTGTATATACACACACACATAACCACACACATATGTACTAGCAATGAACAGGAAAAAAAAGTTAATTTTACACTTCAGAATCTTTTTAATTGAAGTATAGTTGACATATAATATTAGTTTTAAATTCTTCTCGAATGACATATTTTCTGTTTAATAGAAGAAAAATAGTATTATTCAATGTGGAAGATCTTGGTAGATGGCATTGTACATGTAATAATTATTTTATATTCATATTTATGTTAACTTCACATATACAATTCCAATATATGATTTATGTTATGTGGCATATAACATATTATAATACAACTAGGAATATAATGCTTTCATACTTTGCAAATTGCCCACATATGCTTTTCTAATTTTGTTCTGACCGGTCCACTTACTAATATTCCAAAGGTCTTTGAGGCCATAGTGAGCATTCATCCTTCAACGGGGTGTACTTTCTGTAATATCTTTGAGAAATGCTTTGGCATCACATATGGAATATGATTTCTACAGAAACATAGCTACATACTTTAAAAATATGTTGAATAGGCTTGCCTTCTCGATACATACTAAGATTTGATTTCTACTGAGGCTTTTATTTGTAGATATTCCCATATTAGTTTCTTTTAAGGAATTTTTTCTTGATGAGTCCTTTTATGTCGACAGAAGGCTGAGCTATGTCTGAAGGCTTTTCCACATTGATTGCATTTGTAGGGCTTTTCTCCTGTGTGAGTTCTGTGATGTATAATGAGGTCAGACTTCTCAGAAAAGGCTTTTTTACACTCATTACATTCATAAGGTTTCTCCCCAGTATGGATTTTCTGATGTCTCATAAGGCATGACACTTCACTGAAAGCTCTCTCACACCTGGTACACACATAAGGTTTCTCTCCTGTGTGTATTCTCTGATGTACAAAGAGGTGTGACTTCATGCTGAAGGCTCTCCCACATTCATCGCACCCATAGGGTTTCTCTCCAGTATGAGTTCTCTGATGAATGTTGAGGTGTGATTTTTGGAAAAAGGCTTTCCCACACTCACCACATTCATAGGGTTTCTCCCCAGTGTGGATTCTCTCATGTTCGATGAGGTGTGACTTATGGGCGAAAGCTTTTCTACATTCAGTACACTCATAAGGTTTCTCGTGAGTATGGATCCTCAGATGGATAACAAGATTGGATTTCTTGCTGAAGGCCTTTCCACACTCCATACACACAAAGGGCTTTTCTCCTGTATGAGCTCTTTTATGTATAATGAGGTCTGACTTCTGGAAGAAGGCTTTCCCACATTTGCTACATTCATTCTTTCTTCTGTTACCACTAAATGAGCCTAAATAATTCAAACTCCTACCATAGGAGGCATATTTTTGGAGTCTTTGTTTGGAAGAAACAAAGTCGGTGCTCAGAGGAAATATATTTCTAAGTGCATTACATTTGTTGCCCTTTTCCGCAGTCACAGTTTCCTGGTCAATGAATGCAACATGTTTCAAAAGTGTTTCTTGGTTCTCTTGGTGTCTTTCCAAGGGGTCATCAAGTTGCCAGACTTCTTCTATAAGGAAGCATAATTATCTCTATGTTTGTGAATATTTCTGCTAATGTATTATGGCTTATAACTTTTCACCCTATTGTGAGATTGAGTCTTTACTTTAAGGCCTAGTATCCCTAACGAACAGAAATACCAAGGCTAAATGGAATCTATACCCCTGAGCTTTGTAAGAAAACCACAACTTAAAAAAAAAATCGTATTCATAGAAACAGAAATAGAAAATATGACAAAGAACACAAATATATCTAGCTGTCTGCAAATAGGACTTCACAAACTGGGAAGAAAAACGAAAATAATTACAAGGTGCAATAAAAAGGAACAAAGGAGGACAGCTGTTATGGGGTCAATAGGAAGAGCCCATCTAGAGAATTACAATGACTGGGTGAAATGGTGATCAGAGGAAATAAAGGAGAGATTGGATGAGGAACAGAGAGATCTGAGCTGGTGCCTCATTGACTCATTGTTGGATTGCTCTAGTTTAATCCTCACTTGTCTCTCTGCTTCCAATGTCTCTGAGCTCTTGTCTAGTCGTCCATCAGCGTGAAATGGACTTGACAAAGCCATTGAGCCCACTTGCAAGCAGTAGCCAATGCTTCAAAAAGCCATAACAGTAATTCGTTCTTATATGGGTGTGAAGGCCCAGGAACCCATGTGTCCAGTAAGAGAGAAATAAGCCACAGGATAAGCCAAATACAAATGCCTCAGGGTTAGATTAACTATTGAATTCTCACTGCTGAGTGTGTCATCTTAGTCTATTAATAGTTCACAGATACTACATTAATCCTGACTTTTAAATACTCTCCCCCCTTTCTTCTCTACCTAGCACATATAGAAGAGGAATCACAGTTAAGAAAACAGGTACTAAGTCCAGATTACCAAGGTTTCAATCCTACCTCCATCACTAATTAGACATGTGGCAGAGGTCAAGTTCCTTGATCTCTTTGGGCCTCAACTTCCCTTTCTATAAAAAAAGGGATAATAATAGCACCTACCTGGTAGTGTTGTCATGAGAATTAAATGAGTCAATAGATGTAAAGTACTCAGAATACTGCCTCACACATAATACGTTTTGTCAGTTAGATACCATTATTACACGTATTATTACTGACAACTATGCGCTCGCCACTTTTGCTTTACATCGTGTTTTCCAAATTTTTGGATTCTATTAATGTGGAGACGCTAAGCAGCAGATTTCTCACTCTGGATCTAAAATCCTATCTGTCTTCATTTTCATCTATTTTATAAATCTCTGACAGTACTTGACCACTGTTAAACTTATGCTATCTACATCCAGAGCAATAAAGTCATTCCCTGGCTCAGAATTCAATAATTCTCCTGAACTTCCTAACCCAGTTCCTGACATATGAGCCATCAGTCTTTAAAGAAAGTGAGTAGATTTCTATTCTTTATCCAACACTGGCTCCCCAGAGGCTAGATTGGACACCTCTCCTAGGAAGATACACACATGGCCAAAACACACATGAAAATGTGCTCAACATCACTAGTCATTCAGTGCAAATCAAAACCATAAGATACCACTTCATACCCATTAGGAATGCTACTAGAAAAACAAAACAAACCAAAAAATAACAGGCGTCAGTGAGGATGTGGAAAATTGGAACTTTTGTGCACTGCTGGTGGGAATGTAAAATTGTGTGGTAGCTGTGGGAAACATCACAGCAATTCCTTAAAAATGTAAACACAGAATTACCACATGGTCCAGCAAATTCACTTCTGGGTGTATACCTAAAAGAACTGGAAGCAGGGGCTCAAATAGAAATTTGGACACCAACGTTCTTAGAAGCATTATTCACAGGAGCCCAAAGGTAGAAACAACTCAAATGTTCATTGCAAATAAATGGATAAACAAAATGTGGTATACACATACAACGGAGTATTCTTCAGCCCTAAAAATCAATCAAATTCTATCACATGCCACAACGTGGATGAACTTCGAAGATATACTAAGTAAAATAAATCAGACATAAAAGGACAAATACTGTTTGATTCCATTTGTATGAGGTATCCAGAAAGTAAGATTCTGAGCAAAGAAAGTAAAGTAGTGGTTAGCAGTAGGTAGCAGGGGAGGTAGGGCAGGGAGGTATAGTTTAACGGGTGCAGAGTCTTGGCTGGTGGTGATGAAAGAGTTCTGGAGACGGATGGTGGTGATGGTGCACATCAACGTGAATGTACTTCATGCCGCTGAACCGTACACTTAAAAATAGTAAATTCTATGGTATGTATATTTTGCAAAAATTAAAAAAAGGCAAAAAAACTCCTCAAAGTCTTAAATGAAGTTGGTTAAGAATCACAGGCAGAATATACCTCGAAGGGAAAATGTCACTCTCTAATAGCCATGCAGAGAAGAGCATTAATGTGGGAAGGTGATATACGGAAATGGCATTCAGGTAAATAAGGAACTTATGTCAACCATCCCAGTTGTTTTCAAAGGGCTAAGGGCTTTAAGAAGAGAGTCCTGAAGAATATTTTTCAAAGATGCCAACCCTTACTGATCAACTGTGATCTTTTAAACAATTTTCTTTTAAATTCCAGTAAATATATAGTGTTACATTAGTTTCAGGTATACAATATAGTGATACAACAGTTCCGTATATTACTCAGGGCTCATGACAAGTATACTCTTAATCCCCTTCACCTATTTCACCCAACCTCCCACTATCTCTCCTCTGGTAACCATCAGATCAACTGTGATCTTAATTTCATTCACTTCCATCCAGAGTCCTTTACCTAACCCACCTGCATAGTTCCAATTTGGGATTTCTCTCTCCACCATCCATGGTTCTTCACCTTGTTCCAACTTGTGGATCACAGATGGCTTTGTGGTTTGATATCCTGTCAATGGGAAATGATAGAGGATTTGGACCTAGCTACCTGGGCTTCAGGTCCTTTGAACTCTGAACTTCATCAGGGACTGCCTGATGAAGGTGCCCATTTGTACCTGAAAAAGAGAGGTCTTTAAACAAACTTGAAGCCATACCTCCCAAAGACTGTCAATCTTAAATCTACTAAGACCCAGAGCCATACTTGTAAAAGTACTTCAAAGGGCTGATTATTTGGAGCGACTGAGAAAGGTAAGGTAGTTAACTAAGCATATGCCAATCAACACTGGGAAATGGTCCTCACCCACTGAGATGAGGTTGATATAGTTCTCTAGCATCACATCCCTGTATAGATTCCTCTGGGGAAGGTCCAGATACTGCCACTCCTCCTGGGTGAAATCCACAGCCACGTCCTTGAATGATACTGGTCCCTGCAACAACACATTCCTATTCCAACTAAAGTCATCAGTACTGCACAAAATGGAAAAAAAAAAAAGCATGGCAGCTTGTTTAAAGCATGCTCATTATTTGATAATGCTTCCTAAAATTTGGCCCCATTTCATTTTGGGTGACAGTATACTAATTTGGTCTCATTCTGTTTCTCCTGCACTATGCTTTGATGCCCATTTGTCTAATTTTATGATCCATTTTGTGGATAACACAAAAATCATATTTGAAACATTTTACACTGAATATTCATTATTCATTAGGCCATTCTTTCATTAAGTCATTAAGCAAACATTTACTGAACACCCCATACATGTCCAGAACTGATTGTCCTAGATGCAAAGGACCAAATATCAGAATCCGATCCAATTTGCCAAGGCACAGAAAAGATGCTCACTTGGTATCAAGTTATACAAAGAGAAGGCAGCACTGTTCAAAATGCTCTTGATAAATTTTTTTTTCAACAAAGTATTTTAATTGTCAATGTTTAAATTAACAATGTACTAAATAGTTTTACTATTTTTCATTTTCCTATACTTATATGACCAACAGTAAGAGGATTTAATGTTTTAACCAACATTTTTAAAGGTCACAGAACAACTATATCCAATATAAAAAAATCCTATTGATTATTAAGATTTCTTTGCATGATTTTAGCTCACACGGTCATTTTTACAGTCCTCCACTACTGTTCCTATTTAATGAATGGAACAAACTAACTCACCTGGGACTTGGTCATTTTCTGCAGCCTTTGGGTGAAGACAGAGATCTATGAAGAGGTGGGGAAGAGATGGAGCCATGAGAGACCAGGTATGACTTGAAGATCCCAGAATCGCTGGTGTAACAAAGCCATACACGGCTGCTAAACAGTTCAGTAGAGGAAGCCACTCTGTGGGAGAATGTCTCCTGGGCCCTCCAGAACTCATTGTGAGAAAAACCACAGATTTGCACTAAGATTTAGCTGCAATACTATCTGTTGCAGCACTTTTTAACATACTGAAAAGTTGGAACAAATTAAGGAACTGGTAAAACAAACAGATATATACTCCAAAGATAAAGTAATTTACAGTCATCAAAAATGATGTTGCCAAATATTTATCAATATGTAATGGCAGTTGGTGCACATCCTTCTCTGACCATTTAGTCACGCCTTCTGTGGATTCTAACCAGGGCTGTAGGAACAGAGGTTGGAGTCTGAAGGTAGAAGGTACCAGCAACAGGTTCTCAGTGGGACCCAGGAACTGCAGAAGAGACACCAACAGACCCTGGACATATAATGTCCACATGGTGAGATTCGTGCCACAGTTTTTCTGGCATCTCTCCCGGGGAGCTGAGCTGCAGATCCCTGTGTTTTAAGCTAAGGGGGAGCAGAGGTCAGTTAAATGCTATGTTTTAGGTTGGGAGACATATAAAGAGTAGGAGATTTGGAGGAAAATATTTGGGCTTGACTTTACCTCTGGCTGTTTGATTTTGGGCAAGTCAGTCAACCTCACCTCTCTAGCCTCAGTAAAATTAGAAATCATATCTTTGTTATATCAGTGATTAAGGTAAGAAGCATATTTTGATTAAGGTAACAAACATATTTTACAAAACAACCTAATGTTAATATGTTAATGTGTGTGTGTGTGTGTGTGTGTGTGTGTGTGTCCACACTGGCTGTTCCCTCTACCCAGCACATGCTTCTATTTCTTTCTTTTTTTTTTTAAGATTTATTTATTAGAGAGATAGACGGGGGGGGGGAAGGAAGGGGCAGAGGGAGATGAAGAGAATCTCAAGCAGACCCCCCAGCTGAGCATGGAGCCAGACACAGGGCTCCATCTCATGACCCTGCGATCATGACCTGAGCAGAAACCAAGAGTCAGATGCTTAACCAGACTGAGTTACCCAGGCACCCCCACTCTTCTATTTCTTCAAGTCTTTACTCAAAAATCACCAAGGAGGCCTCCGCTGTCTACCTAAGTTAAATTTAATCCCCCCCATTTCCCTTACCCTGATCTACTTTTTCTTTGTGTGTAAGTTCTAATATATAATTTACTATCTAATATACTATATGATTATGCTTATTGTTAACTGACTGTCTCTACTTACTAAAACTAAAATTTCATAAAGGCAGGGGGCTTGATTCAGTACTGTATATTCAGTACTGTATCCCCAGAACTAGAAACAGTGACAGGTTCATGGATGCCCAATAAATAGTCATTTAAAAAAATACAGTTATATGTAGTAAATTTCATAAAACAATCCTTATCACAAGGAAATACACATGTGCTATTTTACAGCATTTTATCTATTTTATTTAAGTGTCCGCTTACTGTAGGATTCCATTCATATGATGTTCTACAAAGGCGAAACTAACCTATAGAGATAGAGATTGGAAACTGGTTGGTTCTTAAGCAGGTGGGGGTAGGAGTTGACTAAAAAGGAGAAGAACTTTCTGGGGGATTAAAATGTTTGATGGGGGTGGTAGTTACACGTGTGCATCAACAAATTTTACACTTTTGTTCTCTGTAAATTATATGCAAATCATTCTGCGTAAATTATATCCGACCTAAAAGTACTGGCAAATAAAAATACTAGTCTTGGCTCATTGAACAGATTTCACCACCCATACTTACTACTGGGTTGCAGCCGATGGTTTGAAAAGCTGACTTAGAGGGTTGCTGTAAGGGTTAAAGGTTAGATGCCTTTGGAAAAGCAGGCAGCACTCCACCTGGAACATTTCAAACCTTCAGTAAAGCTTGGTTCTCTTTCCACACCCCGGAGGGCGCTCCTCACCTTGGTGTCCACCACTTGGCGCTCACTGGCACGGCTGGATGCGCTCCAGGGACGACACCTGAAGCGCGACACCAGCAAGAACGCAGTCCCGGGACCCCGCCCACTCCGGGCTCACGGACCCAGGTTGAGGAGGGTCACTGTAGCTTTTGACAGCTCGATCCACGCCTACTCCAAAGTCCTGCTGAATCCTATTGTTCTTCCCCCACCTCCCCGAGCCCGCGCCCACTTCCTCGGCGCACCTCCAGCCCCGACGAAGACCAACCGGGTGCGGGGCTTAGCGCCTCCGGACTCGCCCCCATCCCCGGGGCACTGCAGTGAGGTCAGGAAGGGCACACATGCGCGGAAGGGGGCGCCGCGCGGAAGGGGCTCGCAGGGGCCCGTTGCCTTCGACTGCAAAATACATCTCCCAGAATGCCTGCGCTGCGACGCTGCACATGCGCAGCGAGAGGCCGGGAGCGCGTAGGGCTTCCGGGCTCATTGCACCTGTTCCCAGCACTACGGCGCCGCCCCGGTCTCCAAGCCCTTCCTCCAAAAAGACCCGCATAGAAGGTCTAACGCGCGCGCACGGAGCCACGAGCCTAGCGACAGAGGCAAGACCTACAACGTTTCGAGAATTCTACCAGGCCTCAGCACGTTTCACTAAAGGTTTGAGGACTTAACTCTGGAATTTGAGTTTGAGCCCAAAGCCTTTCGGATTTTTGTGTTCAGCCTTTCTGATTCTCTGAATGGACCTGTGAGTATAACGTTTTGAGCAAAGGGGAAATACGTCTCAGAGATTTCACTAGAATGCCTGTAAATCAAAACTAACAATGGAATATTTTCTAAGAACACACAAATTAATTTCGATTACACAAATATGAAGACCAATAGCTAACTTGTCTGAGTAATAGTAAAAAGAAAAACTTGGAAAAAAACCTAGGGACAGTTTCCCTCCACAGGGCAGTTCGATGTTATGAAGACACTGTTGCTCCAGATTGATCTAGTGCAACATTAATCAGTGTCCTGATAGGTGTCCATAGATATTTTTTTGGATGATCACCTTCCATGTTATGCCAGTTTAACAGTTATAACAAAAATACCTATAAAGCATTTACTTGGAGTAAAGAATATGGCTGGCAAAATAGAGATTTTGTCCTTGGTTACCGAAGGTAGCCTCTAGATTCTTGGAATTTCCCCAATAATATCCCTGGTGGGCCCTGATAATTCATCCTACCTAGATGATTCATGGTGGGTCCCTAGATAGTTGACACCAAGAAGATGACTCAGGGTAGGGGCTGGCCACTCCACAAAGACCATGTGACTAGAGAGTTGGGGTTTTGAATCACAAGATACACTTGTATACGTGCTGCCTAAGCGAGCACCGGAAGATACATTTGGAGGACCTCTTGACCTCCAGGGAGTGAAGCAGGGTTGGAGATTGAGTTCAGCTTGAAGGCCTGTGATTCAGTCATTCGTTCCTAGATAATGAGACCTCAATAAAAACTCTGGACATCGAGCTCAAGTGAACTTTCCTGGTTAGCAATATTATATGTATTGTCATACATTGATGTGCTCGGAGGGTATGATATCCTGACTCAACACAGCAAGAACAACAGAAGTTTCACTTTTGTAACCCTTTCAGATCTTACACTATGAGTCTCTCCCTTTGGCTAGTTCTCATTCATATCCTAATGCTATAATAAATCTGTAATCATAAGTATAGTGCTTTCCTGAGTTCTGTGAGTCATTGAAGTGAATTATCAAAGTATCAGAGGGAGTACTGGAAACTCCTGGATTTTTAGCCCACTAGCCAGAGTAGCCCAGAGTGGGGGGCCTGAGAACTCCTGGGCTTCTGGCTGGTGACCAAAGTGAGGGCAGTCTTATGAAGACCTGTGAAGTTTGGCCCAATTCCAGCTGGTTGGTGTCAGAAATCACTGAGACTATGTATTTTGCGTGAGTCTAGGTGCTTTAAATGTATTAACTGATTTAATACTTCCTAACAACTCTATGAAGCAGATTCTATTAACCTCATTTTAGGCATGAAGGAATTGAGACCTACAGATTAATCCACTTACTGGGGGACACACAGCTAGTTAGTGGGAGAGCAAGGCAGAATGGCTGTAGATCACGGGTTGTGAACTGCCACTCTCAGGCCACCTCGAGCAGCTGCCTGTTTTTGCACTCTGACCATAGGATGTTTTCTTACATTTGTAAATGACTGGAAAAAAATTAAAAGAATAGAGTTGTGTTTGGGTCTTAGTTTATAAAAAGTGACTGCATGATGACACAGAGAGGTCAGTGTCATTGAAAGAAAAGTTTAATATTACTCAAAGTTGCCCTAGAAATGGGAGGCAGGGTCAAAGTTTCTGGGTCCCAATTCCACTGAGAGGGTTCCCCACTCCAACAATAAGCAATTCACTGACATCAGCCAGGTGTCCTACAGTTTAACTCAATTCTACCACATCTCCTGGGAGATAGCATCTGATCCCACAGATTAAGGGTTCACTCCTATAAGACTGACACCCCTCTCCACTTCAGACCCCTCGCCTAGCCACAAGCCCAGGTTATTATATGCTTCTGACCCACCAGCTACAGAATGGAGGTTCCCCAGGCCTCCTCCTTAAACTACAGATGCCAGTCACAAGTCTAGTTGTTACTTGTAGTTCTGACTGGCTATAAATCAGAGGTTCCCACCACCCTTTCCTTGGGTTCAATTAATTTGGTAGAACCACTCATAGAACTCAAACATTTTACTTACTAGATTACTGATTTATTATAAAAATATATGACTCAGGAACAGCTAAATGGAAGACATATGGAGGGCAGGTATGGGGAAAGGGTGTGGAGCTTCCATGCTCTCTGAACAGGTCACTCTGTCCACATCCCCCCATGTTCACCAACCTGGAAGCTCTTCAAACCCTGTCCTTTTGGTGTTTTATGGAAGCTTCATTACATAGGTATGATTGATTAAGTCACTGGCCATTG